GAGAGAGAGAGAGAGAGAGAGAGAGAGAGAGAGAGAGAGAGAGAGAGAGAGAGAGATCTGTATATGATACTAGACCCCGTATATCTCATTGACATTTCCATGTGTGCGGGGGTAGCCGCACTGGGTTCAAATGTGTTGTATTTGTATGCGAGTTTTAGAATGCATATGATATGTGTTGTGTGATACCGGTCCTCGCTCCACTTCTCAACATTCTACATGTATTTGGACGTCTTTCAACACCAGATGCATTTGGAGTTCAGCATTTTGAATGTATAGGGACTGATTTTGAATTCCAGATACATATATCGTGCTGTGTAATGGAGCGAGGATCACTGTGTACTTTTTTGTGTCGGTCGCGCTCGTTGTCTGTGTTTCGTTTTCATTTTTGTACGTGTGTGTGTGGGCAACATAGGCCCTCGTTCCTCTACACAACATTCGACATGTATTTGGACAGCCCGTTGACCACATGCATTTGGACTAATCCAACATTCGGTCTGAATCGGGACCATTATTTGCTCCGGATACATTTACAAGCTTGTGCAGTGGAGCGAGGCCCATTCTGTATGTTGCGGATAAAGGATCCGTGGACTTGTAAGTGGACTTCCGTCTTTCACCGCATATGTAGCAATAACGCACGGTCATTATAGTTGTATTTGAGGCAAGTTTCAGTACCTATACATCACCGCATATGTAGCAATAGCGCACGGTCATTATAGCTGTGTTTGAGTCAAGTTGCAGTCCATATACATCGATAATGACCGTGCGTTCTATTCGGGGAAAGCCGGTAGTTCACCTTCTTTTCTCCCTCGAATCCAAACTTCATTACAACAGGTCGAATCGAGGCCCCGTAGTTCACCTTCGTGGTAGTGGGGTCCGAGGTCCGAGGCTGTCCGTTAGATTCGTTCAATCTGATAATACGGCGAAGTATGCGCTCTATTGGGGGGATGACAAGGACAGCCTCGAATACGACGGAGGCAGGTATGGTACCCCAAAATAGAACGCACGGTCATCCTCCCCCGTATAGAACGCGCCGGCATGGGTTGTCCGGCGAAACAGCGATCGGTACACCGATGGTGTTCTAACTCGCGGTTTTTTTTTTTTTTTCAATCTAATTCGCGTTTTCCTTTTCTTGCTTCTTTCTTTCTGTATTATTTGGCTGTTCCCTTCCTCTTTTCTTTGCCTCTTTGCCCTTTGGCTGTGTACAAGTGGGTCGATATGACACACGGGGGTGGGGGCAGCCGCCGCTCAACCTACATCCACGTGGGCGGCCTTGTACGCAAGAGGTTCTGAACAGGGGGAGTTGTAAGGAAGAAGATTAAAAACGAATTCAGTTTTTCTTGTTTTTCTTGTTTTGTTTCTTTTTGTATGTATGCCTATATATATATATCGTCATAGAGAACTCGTAGTTTCGTTTTCTTGTTTCTTTGTTTTTGTATGTGTATTGTCAGACAGAGGTGGCTACGGTAAACCGTAGGCAGAGAGGGAGGGGAGGGAGAAGAGGACAAAAAACGAGGGGCTGTGACGAAGTGTTTCGTCGGAGTTTCACCGACTCATCAGGAGGCTGAACCCTGTATATATATGTATGTGACGATATATGTCTATCGATATATATACCGCTCAACCTACATCCACGTGGGCGGCCTTGTACGCAAGAGGTTCTGAACAGGGGGAGTTGTAAGGAAGAAGATTAAAAACGAATTTAAGATTTTTTTGTTTTTTTGGTTTTTTCGCTTAGGCGCTCTGATATCATGTGACAATATATATACATGTTCTATTTGACGATATATATATGTATTTTCATAGAGAACTCGTCTTTTCCTTTTCTTGTTTCTTTCTTTTTGTATGTATATTTCTATATTGTTGTAGAGAACTCCCCGGTAAAGCGCAGGCAGCGAGGACAAAGTACGACGAGCTGTGACTACTTTTTTTTTTTTTTTTTAACGCATCGGACCCATTCTATTTGTGGTGAACAGGTAAGCGAGTTGTAAGTTATTCCAACAAGGCAATTGGCGGAGATCGGGGATCTAATGCGGAAAACGGAAAGACGACCGGGGAAGAAGAGGAGCGAGGAAGTTGTATTATCCGAACGGCGCATCGAACAATTCTTCTGGCTGGTGTTGCTGGTGTTGGTGGGTGGCAGGGACGATTCAGGCTTTCTTTCTCTTCAGCCATGGTGCCGACAACACAAGAGGAGAAGGCAGCGAAGTACCTTCCGCCGAACTTCTAACGTTTGTATCGAGACACGTGTCGATCCTACAACCATCCATTTGCCAGTCCGTCCATTCACAGGAAAAGCTGATATCTTTTGTCACAGACATATTGCGTGATTGTTGATGAGTAGAGAGATGGAGCTAGATTGAGAGAGAGAGAGAGAGAGAGAGAGAGAGAGAGAGAGAGAGAGAGAGAGAGAGAGAGAGAGAGNGAGAGAGCGAGCGAAAGAGAGAGAGAGAGAGAGAGAGAGAGAGAGAGAGAGAGAGAGAGAGAGAGAGAGAGAGAGAGAGAGAGAGAGAGAGAGAGAGAGATGGCTGTGATAAGGTGTGCGCGTGATTGCAAAGTGGACTGTAATCTTGTAGCAGCCATTGTGGCAGTTCTGTGCTTGCTTTCGGTGACCGTTTTCAGCTCTTTGAATGCGAAAGCGTGCCCCAATCGCGATGCCTATTTAGCTCAGCGGAAGAACTGCAGTCTGATTGGTGTAGGAGACGGATCTGCCAAGGCGCTGGAGATGTGCTTGGAAGACTGGTGCTTGGCGGAGAGCAACTGGACGTCTACGCCCGATCGCTGCCGCAATTTCAACCTGTCCAGACCGGGTTTCGATCCCGTGTACAACAAAGCCCGGTTAACGGATGGTTTCCCTGATGACCGCCTCGGTGTCGGCATGGGGTTTACGGGCCTATCGTTGCTGATTTTGGCGGGTCTTTTCCAAGCTATGTCCCAGATTGCTAACTGCATAGAACCCAGGGCGGGACGGTGGGAGAGAAGGCGGGAAGCAGACGGCAAACAGCTGCAGATGGTGGTGTCGGACAGGATTACAAACACGGCGAACAAAAAAAAAAAGTCCAAAAAAGGGAGGATTGCCTCCATCTGTATGGCGTTGTCGGCGTGGCTCTCGTGGTCTGCATCCACGGTTGTGATCCTTGTGCTGTCCATCCAGACGGGCAGAGATTGGGGGATGTACAACTGTGTGTGTCCCTTGTGGATTGCAGCAGCCGTGCTGTCCCCTGTAGCGGCCATCTTGTTCGCGGTGGTGGATATGAAGTCGTCGTCGCTTCTAGACGGGAGAGAATCTTCGTCGAAGGTTCTCGCTCCTAGGTGGCATTTCGAGAGTAAGCCGGATAGTGACCTGGAGGGAGGGAAGGCGGGGGAGCAGAACCCCTCCCTCCCGCCTAACCAATGGAGCGCATTCCGCGGGTCCAAGCAGCCTGACGATGAAGATTATGCCCGCAGCGGTGAAAGAGGAGGAGGAGTGTCGTTGTCGGCGGGGGGGGGTGGCAACCAGTGGCAGCAGAGCGCGCAGCAGTCTGCTTATCACCGAGGCGGAGGCGGCGGAGGGTCGGGGAGACTAAGTCCATCCAGCAGGGGGAGTGGGGGGGGAGGAGGGGGAGGATCGGCAGGGCAGCGCAGTCCGTACCGAGGAACGTCCGCGGGTCCGAACAGTCATCGGACATCAAATTTCAGACCAGGAACACCGGCTCAGGCTAGTCCGACGATAAGCTGGGCTGCGCCTGTCCGGTCGGAAGAGGAGGGGGGGAATGCGGGTTCGACAGCCGACGGCGGCGGCAGCGGAGGGGGAGGAGGCGGGGTTGATGCGCCGACGGGAGGGGGAGAGCAGTTCCTCGCGAGATCCCCCATGCGATCTCCCAATAGGTTGAAGATGGGCCTGGGGCGGGGCAACGACATTCCTCAGCCGTGGTCACCGAATGCACCTCCTCCTCCTCCTCCTCCTCCTCCTAGATCCCCTCTCCGCAGTGCTTCTGCAGCCACTCCCGGTCACATCCCGCCATCTCCTGGTGCTTCCACCGGCGCTATCTCCGGCGGACTGGCCTCGACGGGCTCGATCGGCTCTGGGACGTCCGATCTGTCCGTACGCAGCGCGTCGTCCGATTTCTCCGTACAGGACCTTCGCAAAGCGACAAACGACTTCTCCCCGTCTCGAATCCTCGGCAGGGGGGGGTTCGGATCGGTGTACAAGGGTGTGCTGGAAGACGGGACCCCGGTGGCCGTCAAGAGGCTCCACCGCGATTCCAGCTCCAGCTCTGCCATTGCCGGGTTGCAGAACAAAGGGGGGTCACAAGGAGCGCGCGAGTTCAAGGCCGAGGTTAGCATCATCAGCCGCGTCCACCATCGCCATCTGGTTCAGCTGATTGGCTATGCCATCACGGAGAACGAGCAGCTTCTCGTGTACGAGTACATGCCCAATGGAAGCCTGTACGACCTGTTGCACGATCGCCAGAAGCACAGGAGGGTTGTAGACTGGCCGACACGTGTCAAGATCGCCGTTGGTGCCGCCAAGGGCCTGGCTTATCTCCACGAAGGGTGCAATCCCAAGGTCGTTCATCGGGATGTGAAGGCTCACAACATCCTCCTGGACAAGGAGTTCCAGGCCAAGGTGTCCGACTTCGGGTTGGCGCGCTTGTTGGGCGACGAGGTCACACACATCACCACGAGAGTGATGGGCACTTTCGGGTACTTGGCGCCGGAGTACGCGTTGTCCGGCCAGCTGACGGAGAGGAGCGACGTGTACAGCTTCGGGGTCGTCTTGCTGGAGCTGGTAACGGGGAGGCGGCCCGTCGATCAAGCGAAGGGCGGAGAGAAGCGCAGCCTGGTGGAGTGGGCGTGGCAGATGGGGGACGCGGACCCGGCGGAGTTCGCGGATCCGAATCTGGACGGAGAGTTTGACCGGGAGGAGTTGAGGAGGATCTGGATGACGGGCGTGCTCGCGGTGAATCATTTGGCACAAGACAGACCGTCGATGGACCAGGTGATGAGGATGGTGAAGGGAGAGGTGGAGCCTGCGACGGGAGGGGGAGGGGGGGGGGGGTCCTCTTCCTTGAGACAGAAATCCACGATGCGATGGTTCTCAGGGTGGATTTCTTCCTCTCCGACGTCGGAGTCCAAGGGAGGAGAGGAAGGACGGGGAGAGGTAGTTTCGCCCTCATCGCCGAGTCCGAAGAACGGATCTCTCTCGCGGCGCGGTGAGAGCAGGTCTTCGCGCGAAGCAGGGGACGGAGGAGGAGGAGGAGGGCTGAGGAAACGAGGAGCTGGGGGAACTGGTGGTGGGAGCGAACCGCCTGGCAGAGGGGAAGGTGGGGAAGACCGCAAGGGGGCAGCAGCGGACGCGCGTTCCCCAGGGGTGGTCACCGCGGCGGCGCAGCCCGTTTCCGGAGAACCGCCGAGTGCGGAAAACCCGCGGAGCTCCGGTAGGCGAAATATCGTGTCTGAGCGGACTTGGCTGCCTTGGAGTCGGGGGAAGAACGGCGGCGATGAGCGCACAGGCGCGCTGGGGAACGCTGGGGAAGCTGCCGGGAATACCGCCGATCACACCGGCGGAAAGGGGAGATCGTTTGGAAGGAGGGGCGGGAGTCAGCGTCGTGTGGAACGAAGTACGGGTAGGGGTGAGGACGAGGGAGGGGAGGAAGAGGAAGGGGAGGAGGAGGAGGAGGAGGAGGAGGAGGAAGAAGCGGCATACGACTACGAGTGCCAAGAAGACGATCGCAGGCGAGTAGCCAGAGTAGTTAGCAGAGCGTCAGAGACGGACTGGGGCAGTTTCTCGGGCCCTGCTTCATATACATCAAGACCGAGTGTACCATTGGAGGATGAGGTTCGAGACACGCGCCCGGCGAAAGCATCACCGTCTCCGAAGCAGGAGGCTGCGCGTGGGGCGGAAAGACAGAGAGCGAAAATGCCGCCTTCCCCACAAAACCGCTCGCCGATCAGATCACCGTCCTCCATGGGTGCACAGGTCAACGCCGATGCCTCCAGAGTCAGAAGGTCTACAGAGACTACACCAGAAAGGACGCCCCCCAGGGAAGGGACTGTCCCGGCGAGGGAGTCGCCCTCGCTGCCACGACGTCCGACAGGTCCTAGTGCCAGTCCCAATGTCAGGGGGCTGATGGGGGATTTCGGTCCTGCTATCCACGAAGAGCGACCTTATCGCGGAAGGTAACCGTAACGTAAGGGGAGCCAACTCGTCCGTTAGTGAGAATGCGGTCGTTGGGGGAGGAAGATGGCCGGCGGAGGAGGGGGGGGGGAGTAGGTGTAAGAGTGACTTCGGGACAACTACATGATGAGAGACCCGTTCACAACACACATACACACACACACAAATGTGTGTGTGTGTGTGGGAGAGAGAGAGAGAGAGAGAGAGAGTCGCTGGACATAGCATATGTGGAGAGCCATCTGAGTGTACATTGGCGAGGTCTCTCATCAGTCATTAGCACATGATGAGATGCTGTCCTCTTCCTTTCTCTTGGCCCTAGCCTGCGCGCGCGTGGGTGGGGTTTGATGGGGAATACACACACACACACACACACACACACACACAGAGAGAGAGAGAGAGAGAGAGAGAGAGAGAGAGAGAGAGAGAGAGAGAGAGAGAGAGAGAGAGAGA